GTATATATAGGCCTATATATGTTATTGTACAAATATTTCGAGAGTTCACATTCATGTATAATAGTACTGTTATCAATAATCTTACACTTCCGTTGAACGATATCGTCTATTAAATATTCCATAACTGCAGGCGACAATAACGAAAGGAGAAGCTGAAATGATTTAAGTTATACCAAAAAAGCTCATTAATTCTAATCGATGTACTTTATGTTGATACGACATAATAATCGATGCAAAGCAGTTGCGTAAGCCTTACAAATGTATAATTGAACTTGACAAAAAGAAAAACAGTCTCATAAATATAACTTGCTCATTTGCAATACAGATACAATTTATTAACTTAAGCATAGAATTAAATTGAAAATAAAACCCGTGTGTACTCTGCATTTCTGGATAATGATCCAAATAATAAAAACACTTCTGATGGCTGGAAGTGCCCATTTTACGCTGTAAAATTTATGGGTAAGCAATTTTTAAATACACATTTCTATGTTCAAATTGACCATATTTAATGTTAATTCAAAATGTGCAAGTTAATTTCAAAACAATTTTTTAAAATTTTGTTATGGTGAGTTTCATGGGAAAATACATCTTTAATATTGAACTTTTCTAATTACAAATTGTAACTGAAGAAATGCTCTGCGTGCAGACAATTACATTGCATATGCGATATCGTTTATTATAATTAAAACTGACGGGCTGGCAATAGTCTACGTGAAGTCAATTAATTATATTTATGTAATCTTTAATAATCGTATAAACTTACCCCACCCAACAGCACTGAAGGCATAAAAACATTTTTGTGTAAGATGGTAATTCCTTGAGGTCATATACAGATGAATACTCTCAACTAACATCCACATCAAGGCCGACGTATAGCAATAATGAATTGCGACCGCCATCGCGTTGCATATACCCTTAAACAAATAGGATCAGAATGCAATAAACAGCTTTCATGTATATGTTATATACCAATTTGCATATTATATGCCAATTTACTGATAAAGATAATAACAACGGTAACAACAAAAGCAACAACAACAACAATAATAATTATAATAATAATAACAATACTAATAACAATCAAATTAATACATGCTAATATTATTAATACTGTATAAATAATCCTAATAACATGTTATGTTATTGGTAATAATAATTTAATGTTAACAAGGGCCTTTCTCTTGCATGTTGAATGCGACACAAAACACAATATTCAGAGCTTTCATGCTAAATATAATACCTAATTCAATATTCAATATTTAGCTAACATAATGTTATGTCTTAATCTAAACCTCGCTTTTGTATACGTAACCGAATGAATATAAATATACAAATTACGTTTCAATCAATATAAATTCTACATGTATTGGAAAACCTTTGTTAAGTTAACATGGGATAAAACATCTGATTTAAAACAGGTTAAACATTTTCACTGTCTCTTTTATTTTTTGTTATTAATTAAGCTAACTTACATAACTTTTAGTTACGTTTTTTTTTTTAAATTTTAGTTAAAGCTGAATGCGCCAATTTCCTGTGTGCTGCCACTGAAAAGTGAAATGCCAAATTAATTATCATGACAGATTTAGACTCTTTTATTCATCGTCACATACATACATGGTATTCATTCTCCATGTGATACCTTCATTTAAATACAAAGGTTACTGCACAACAAAAAAAGTCATACAATAAGAAGAGATAAAGAAACATAAAATATAAAAAGTCTTGTAAAAATACAAACTGTACATATTTTTCTTTTTGGAAATTTTCTCGGCGTTATTAAAAATATTAAAAAGTCCAAGAGAATTTAAGGTGCATTTGAATACTTCGATAAGTCATTATTAATTTAATTATTATTATTTTAAAAAGGTAAAAATTACAAATTAACTATTTATTGATATAAGCATTTAAATGGGACAAAAGTTCATTAATGCCAGTTATTGCACTTAAAAAAAACCTATTACATTACCGTATGTTATTGACACTGAAACTATTTAAACAATATTACCTCGTTCTCTGTTTTATCAATTCCAACCAGAAACAAAAAATTTGCTGATGCTAGTGCCACGCACAAGCAGAAGTGTACTTTTATAACAAATGTCTTGCGTAACCTACAGATAGAAATGACAGGTTATGCTTATGTGTTTAGTAGGTCTATATGAGAATATATATAGCTTAACAATTTATTTTATGATATATTTCAATTCACTTCCTTCCTTTTATTTAAAAGATGGTTCAATTAAATAAACAAGTATTTGTTATGATAGTATGTAGACGTACTTGCCAGTGTTAGCTTTGCATAATAAGACGCATTTATGGCTTCGGATTTGCCACTGCCATAAAGCATACTGAATAAATATAATCAATACATCTCAACTCGCATGCGTAAAATATCATAGTAAATTGTAATGAATTTATTTTATGTTTGAACGAATATTTGTGATGTTTCTTGAAGTATGGTGATAAAACAGTAATGTAGTGTGGTACGCGCGAATGCGTGTGATGAAGAAATATGTGTATTATGTCGATTGATTCACAACGTACCCAACATAAACGAAGATGCACCCAGCAGCAACAAGGCAAAACAGTGACAGGCTTAGAACAACCGCAGACAAAATTGAAGAGGATTTATCAGCTGCTAAATCAGCCTGTATGTGCACATGAAATTAATAATTTCATGAAATAATAATAACAAAATTCATGATTTAAAATATACATATGCCACTACCTACATATACTATCTACTACATAACTGTTATAGCCTTAATCGATCAGGTATTCGTCTCTGTATCCCTCAAACAAAAACATCTCTGTGTCCCTCAAACAAAAACATTTCACTTGAGTCAATCTTTCATCTCTAACTCAAGTCATGTTTTCAACAGTAAAGTTTGCAGTAAATGTTTTGATGTGCCAATCTGTGTGGTATTATTTTTGTAACCAATTATCTATTTTTTAATTACGTAATTTCATATTAAAATTATTTTTAATGCCGCTGTAAAACAAATTTCTGTATTAGTTCAATCAAGTATTCTGAATCTTGTACAGTATATTCTAATTGTAAAACATGAACAAATTCTGTATTATTCACGACAGCAACGACATCGTCACATGTTCACAAACTGAAATCAAACTAAAATCATCTGCATTTTAAGATATTATTTAAGTTACTTGATAGTAACTTATGTATGAATGGAAAAGCACCTAGTGATAGTTAAACACTTTCCTTCCGAGTATACGATGAATACGTACCGTGGATTTCAGAGCGAACAACACTGTGAAGCTCGTTAGATGGTTACACCTGCAGATGGTGCTTGACGAGTTACTGAAACTGACGAAGCAACCATGTGTCGACCACGTGTTACTGATATAAGAAACGTAATTTTATAAACAATAATTAATGGATTTTAATAATTTCATCAAACATGTAGTGGCCTCGCCCTTGGTCCCTTTACAATGATTTATTTTTATCACTACCTGAAATCTTATAGAAGAGACTCTGGCCAACTTGAAGGTTCAGAGTGATCTTTGGATAATCAACGAGATCTTTCGGCCACAGACCTTGTGTTGTATACGTTATAGGCTTACAGTACTTTTAATTTAGTATTGCAGTGCACAATGTGTTACTTACGGAGAAGGGTTATTGTCCCAAAAAACGCAATATGCATCATAGCCCTGACCTGTGTCCAACACCTATAAGGAATTGTATATACCATCATATATTCTGTTTTTTTGGGGGGTTTTTTTTGCCAATATTTTGGCTTTATCACATACACTTAGTATAATTGGAAAACATCTTAAGTATAATAGCTTTGATTTACGGCACTTTATCTAAAAAATACGGCATTTTATGGCGATGCCTAAAGGGAGTGATTTTCTTGGTGGAATATATTTACTGTATTATAAAAAGGGTTCTTATCGTGATTAATGGGATCATCATAGAAATAGATATGGCGCCTTTAATACGTTAGCGCCAAGTAAGAATCATAGACTACTCCATCAAGTTCAATACATTTTAAGAGCAGAATATTGATGTAGAAATAGAAAAGTGATGGTTGAAACAAGACTAACAGTAACGAAAGATTATGAATTTATTTTATGAAATAATTCTGATATACGCAAACAAAAAGCATTTCAATTACAAAATTTAGAACAGAAAATTTTCATTCTTACACCCTCAAAAATGTCAAAATCGATTTCAATATAAGATTTTTCGCTAATCTGTATCTTCGTATTGTTTGATTTTAATTGAATGCTAACGATGATTGCCATTCTGGTAGCCTCTGAATATTGTAACTCAGTGAAGTTCGATGGTGTCCTTATACGATCACTACTTTCAGATATGACTTCTGAAGATATATAAACAACCACATCTAGCAAAAAATAACCCATAATTATTATAATATCTTTACTTTCATATTATAAATACATTAGTATTTAACATTATTATTATTTTTATTATTGTTGTTGTTGTTGTCGCTGTTGTTGTTGTTATTATTGTCATTATTATTATTCATCATCATTATTATCATCATCATCATCATCATCATTATTATTATTATTATTATTATTATTATTATTATTATTATTAGCTTTTCCTAGCAGTAGCAGGAAAAGCAATTGTTTTTGTTCTGATTATATTTTCTTCCACATGCCTCTTTTTTTATTTTTTTTTTTAGTTTAGTTTTTTTGTTTTTAGTTTAGTTTTTTTGTTTTTAGTTTAGTTTTTTGGTTTTTAGTTTAGTTTTTTTGTTTTTAGTTTAGTTTTTTGGGTTTTTTCTGTTGTTTTTTTGTTTTGTTTTGTTTTGTTTTGCTTGTTTTTGCACAGGATTTTCCTAACAGGCACTTTAGTCACTTTCCATGCTTGGATCTTCGGCTGTAAATTTGAGGGTCATTTAAATTGCTAAGGTCCCAGGCCTAAATATCTCTAAAAACTTCTTATCAATAGAACTAAACGAAACTTTTCATAATAATTTGTCATGGCCCAATGAAGACTAATTACATATTGGTGGCAATATAGGGTTTGAAGATTAATAAAACCGGGGTTAAATTGAACTATATAAACATAGTTTTCTTTTTCTAAAGCGTTAAACCAGCTGCAGTTTAGTTCAACGCAAAATTACCATGAATTGAATGAATTATTTTAATAATAATAATAATAACAACAATTGTTATTATTATATTTTATTTATGTAATTATTATTATTATTTTTATTATTATTATTATATATTTATTATTATTATTATTATTATTATTATTATTATTATTATTATTATTATTATTATTATTATTATTATTATTATTAAAATTACCATTGTATGATTCATTTCTGAATCCACATACCATTAACATCAGGGATCGCAGATTGTGGTAAATAAATTCTCGTAGTATAATCTCCGCCTGAAATTTCTATTGTAGTAGATTTATTCACCTCCACAATATATTCTTCTGCTACAACTAAATAATAATGATATAACCTTTCAATATTAAAGGCATAATTTGCATTATAAAAATATATTTGAATGACAGAACGAATGAAGTAGAGTTTATTTGCACACAGTTGCATGTTATGTTTATCAACGTATAATATAATATAATATAATAATAATAATAATAATAATAATAATGACGATGAGGATGATGATGATGAATAATAATAATAATAAATAATAATAATAATAATAATAATAATAATAATTATTATTATTATTATTATTATTATTATTATTATTATCATTATTATTATTAATTTTATTTAATATATATTAAACGGAATAGTTCTGTTCTATGTCAGTACTTCGAAAGGATTAGTGCTGTTCAAAAAAGTGAGAACAATTGCCTGCAATAGAATTTCAATTCACCAAAAAATCAATATGGTTTTGTCGCGTATTATCTCCGGTGTATTACAATTGTAAAAAAATACTATTTATTAAAACATTAAACTCTAATTATTATGGATTTTTAAACGTGGCCTACCTTGTGTGCACTCACTTCCATGTCTAGAGTTGTCACTATACTGAAAGCAACCATCATTCACTCAATGGTAAATTATAATAATAGTATTCATAAAATTAATAATAATAATAATAATAATAATAATAATAATATTTCTTTTATGTATCTATTTTTGGTAAAGAAGGAATATTTCACGCATTAGTACTGCTAATGATAATGAAGATAATGAAGGTGATGATGATTATGATGAAGATAATAATAATAAACATAAATAAAAATATACTTGATAATATTATAATAATAATAATAATTTTAACTGTCAGTCATCCTGGAAGAAAAGAATCACACACCTCGCTATATAAAATGCTCAATAATTCTTCATTGTCCCCAGTTGCATGGTGTGAGCTGTAACACGGGCTCTGTGTAGTTGCAGTCGGGTGCATTTCCTTATTGGCTGTTGTCATTGTGTGTGTGCCTAATGTACCGGGAGGCCTTAAAGTAGTCATGCTCGTTTCTATACTACTTCCATGTTGACTGGCACTTACAGAACCCATTGATGTCGCTGGCAGAAAAGTGGTCAAACTCGATTCTATGCTACTTCCATGTTGGCTGACACTTACAGAACCCATTGACGTAGCTTGCTGAAAAGTGGTCAAACTCGATTCTATGCTACTTCCATGTTGGCTGACACTTGAAGAAGCCATTGTCGTAGCTTGCTGAAAAGTGGTCAAACTCGATTCTATGCTACTTCCATGTTGACTGGTACTTACAGAACCCATTGACGTAGCTTGCTGAAAAGTGGTCAAACTCGATTCTATGCTACTTCCATGTTGGCTGACACTTGAAGAAGCCATTGTCGTAGCTTGCTGAAAAGTGGTCAAACTCGATTCTATGCTACTTCCATGTTGACTGGCACTTACAGAACCCATTGACGTAGCTTGCTGAAAAGTGGTCAAACTCGATTCTATACTACTTCCACGTTGACTGACACTTACTGAATATCTTTCTGTTGTGGTCAGAATGTCGTGTATACCTAGACAATTGCAAGGACAGAGCCCGAATAAAATTATTTAAATGTCAGATTAGCATAATTATTGAATAAATTATGGCAGTACACATGGATACACTACATTAGGACAGCATTTAATAATATATTATACATATAAACATATATATATATATATATATATTATTACCTACATATATATATATTTATATGTACTATATATACTTATATAACGTTAATATATATATATATATATATATATATACATAAATATGTACTTTAATGTATCATGAAATATAAATATATATATATTATACATATATATATATTTATATATATATATATATATA